CTATTTTGTCCCATTGTGATGGCTAAAACACATCATCATCCTTTGTCTTTTCCTAGCCCACTACAAAAGCAGCATCTCCCTCTTTTTCTTATTACATCTCAAAATTAGGGTTTTATAACATGTGCTAACTCACTTGCTACACTTCATTTCATTGTGGGCAACACCTCCATCCAGTTGGTTACTAAGCACTGTGGAGGAATGCCTGTTCTATCACTGGTCTCCATGGCCAATTTTTAAACAAGTTTGGTGGAAGAGTGAAAGGTTTGGTGGACGAGTAGATATTTCCAAAGCTGTATGAAATTTGCATAACTTTTTTGTTAAATGCATTCATTTTCCTACAAGATGGTACATCCTTTCTCAACCTCAAAAAGAAGAGAGATTGATTTTCTATTGTGGTTTATATTTTGCCACAATAATGGTTTCTCTTTTTTCCCCCTTAGTTTCTTTCTCATGATCACATTGTGATTATTTCACTGTGGGTAGGAAAGCATACCACTTCTGTAATTGTGTGAGTTTCCCTGATAGACATGGATGGGTTTTGCAAATTATTTTCAAGAGTAAGATGTTTGCGGCAATTCCATAAAGAGAGTCACACAGAAACCAAGAACATTTTTGCCTAATTAAAACTCCTGCGAGTTTCAAACGATACAGAGCGATTTGGAATCCTTTGTTAAATAACATTTACATTTCAAAAAGCCTTATAATTTAATTTGCAGAGCAAACAAATTGATTACATTTGGATAATTTAATATTAAAGTCAACTAAGTAATAGGATTTGGACATGTTGGTTTGTGTACCTGGTACTATCTCTTTCACAGTTACAATCTTATAAGAACACTTATAGTAACCACAGGTATATTCTTTTATCTCAATACAATCTCAATAGCTTATTTTGAAGTCCTTACAGCCTTGACACTTGAGCCAATTTTCTTCTCAGAATTCCTAGTGCAAAATGGCTAATTAACATTTTGGTAAAATCCTTGAAGTCAAGCTCAATGCCTGATGACTTCAGGGACATGCTTAGTAGCAACTGGAAGTGGTTTGCCACTGCTTTCTTTCAAGACCTTCCTCGATTTAATCAGCCTAGCTTACAGCTCTGTAACTGCCTGGTGATCTCCCATCCAAGTAGTAACCAAGGTTCATACCTTTTGAATTCAGAAAAAGCCAAGTGTGCCACATACTGACACACTAATGATATAATATTGTCCTAAAGCCAGAGTCGGAATGTTTTCAGTTTTCACTCTAGTGAAGAAGTTCTTTAATTCCCAAAATCTGGAAATTAAGAATGCTGAATAATTTCTGGCCATTCTTGACGACAGCTCTCAGCTGTATGGAACGCCTGTTTCAGGACAGTCTTGTGTTTGAGAAAGCAGCAAGGCATCATCTTTGTACAAAATAACAGAAATGTATCTATTTCCCATGTCTATGGAGATTCTCAGTCATCCAGGTCATGGTTGTCCCAAAGGTACTTTTTCAAAAGACAACTGGACTTTGTTTTTCCTTTCGCTTCTCATCCAAGAAGCTGCTTTAGCTGTGAAAAGTGAACCGTCTTCAAAGAAAAACAAAGTCCAGTTGCCTTTTGAAAAAGCACGTTTGGGATATCTATTTCCCGGTTTTGGCAAAGTAATCTTTTATCAATTGAGGAAGAGGTTCTGTTTCTCCCATAGTTTGGATCTGAAGATGAGACCAAAAGCATATCTAAGATCAATAAATGCTGCGCAGAGTGATGAGCATGCTCTTGGGGTAGTATTTCTCAATTAGATGTTGGAAGGTTAAAGTGTGGTCAATAATTGAGTGGCCCTCTCTGAAACCTACGTATTTATCAGCCAAAATATTCTGTTATAACTCAGTCCAGGAGCGTGTTACATAGGTAATTAGCATATAGTTTACTGATCACATTGAAAAGGCTAATGAAATGGTGACTGGCAGCTAAATCTCTGCCTCCTTTATTGTAGATCACCAAAATTAGGTCTCAAACATCAGGAACTCTAGCACGATTATTAGTGTAAGTGAATAAGAAATTCAGAATGGGTATCCACCAATTTAAGTTGTTTCAAATAGCCTCTGCTGAAATAAAATCATATCCTGGAGCTTGTCTGGTTTCAATTGTGCAATCACTTTTGTAATTTTAGAGCCTGAGGAGGGGAGGAAGAGGAGGCTAGGAGGGGAACAGATGAACTTCATGGCCTAATTCCCTATTTGGTGACGTAATTCTTCCTGGATATACAACAATGAAATGATCTTCCCAAACTGAAGTGGGATTGAAAGATGAAATTTGTATATTAGTGGATGCAGATTGAAGAGTTACACATTTCCAGAATAGAACTGAATTCTTAGAACGAGTGGCAGAAATTAGTTGATTCCAAGACTGTATCGGAGCTTGCCTCCTCTTTGCCTGCAATAACTGTTTATATTTCCTCTTGAAGAGGAGCAGGTCCTGGGTTGAGTAGGAGAAAGGATCCTTTTTTAATATTCCTTTAAAGCAGGAAATTAGTTGTTTCTTGGCTGTGTGGCCAACATTATCAAGCCAAGGTTGGTTAAAAAAATGCTGATTTCTGTTATCACTAGTTGGACTAGTAGAAAGAATTGGCTGAAGAAGCTGAACTAGATGAATATCAAATGGCGAAGTTTGATGGGGGACTTATCATCTAGAATAGGGGTCCCCAATTTGTGGACTACTGGGCCATGTGAGTGGTGAGCAGGTGCGCCCATGAGCAGCCCATCACGCAAAGGGTGTGTGCTGGTGCTTGCAGCCCCCTTGCACTTGCAGCATGCACCGCACTCACAGCCCCGTCATGCAAGTGGTGTGCACCAGTGCTCGCAAGCCCCTCAGGCAAATGGCGTGCACCAGTACTCGCAGCCCCCTCATGCAAGCTGCATGGCTGGCGCTCGCAGTCCCCCTCGAACAAAACTATCCCTCTTCTCCCCTCTCCCCCCCTCCCGCACCAGGCCGCCAACTTGGAAAGGTTGGGGAACACTGATCTAGGACAGTTCTACGTAGTTGAAGTGCCTCATTAAGAGAGCATTTGGGTTACTTTGTCCTTCATCTGACTTGTCCATGATGTTTGTATTTGTTTTGGGAAATCTTCAGATGTAATATGGTGTATATCCAAAACGGAGACCCCAAAATCAGTACGTTGGGACAGTGATCACTCTTGGGATGATCCAATATGGAATTGGAGAATTGACAAACAGATTTCTTGATATGACAACGTAGTCAATCAGATAAAGCTTTGTGCCAACTCAATGAGAGAACTCTGCCAGGTAATCTGTAACAGTGATGACATTCATAATTTACAAATCCAACTTGTAAAATGTTCGCAGCACTTGTAAGCCCCTGAAATCTCCAATATGGTCTTTAGATTTTCTAATTAGGAGCGGCATTCGATGACCATAAGAAAGCTATCAAACCTTATGCTGCCAAGATTGAAACTGCCCACTGTTGAGTCAGAACAGTAAAGGATTACAAACACCACAAAATGCAGAGATCCAAAAACCTTACATGTCAAAAACCGTATTCAGGAGGTTGCCTTTATCTCCAACCCATTGCAGACGCAGCTGAAGGTTGGCGTCAGTTGATTTTCAGCTGAATTTCATTAAAACTTTGTTACTTGCAGGGAACGTTCAGTTTTCAGTTTCATAAAGCACACTATGTCCAATATTTGAGGGAATTCGTCAAGGTTGTGTTGCAGTGTCATCTGATTTCTTCCCAAGGAACCTATGGCCCCTGGAAATTTACCACTTCCACGGGAGCTTCAAAAATAAAATAAAATACTCATACTACAGTATATAGGAAAAAAAGAGAACTGCTTAAATCTGATATTCACTTAGTGGAGCATGTAACCTATTCCGCCCCAAAAATGACACACCAGCATCAGTCAACATATTAAATTGTCTTTCATCCATCCCATGATCTTAGTATAAAGTCTTCTGTGGAAAGAAGTTAAAGCAATTCACCCGCCTGAAGATTGCTGCAAAGGGAAGACTGTAATGTTTCTTTATTCAATTTCTATAGCCTCCCAACTCAACTAAGTGACTCTGGGTGGCTTACATTTTTAAAGGTTCCTACATATCAACACAGAATGTTGGATGCTCTGGTTATGGAGTGAAAAATCTTCACAATCATTGGCCTTTTCAGAAAGACAACTTTTCCAAAAACCACCACCAGCAACAACAATTAGAGATTGGCAGAAAAGTGGGGATATATATGGTGGGCCATATTGAAGCTCCTGAAAAGTATGAAGCTTTTGCACATTTATTTTTTAATTGGACCAAAACATAATTCCACTTTTAAAGACCCCAGCTTGCTTTTCTATAGCTATCATGCTGACTATAATTGTCAGGACCCACCAGTTTAGCTAGCTTTTGTCTGATGCTTCTTGTGTCCAGTATGATGTGATGTGGATAGTATTAAATACAAGAATATTAGAAGAGGGTGTTGAAATGGATTGTGTCTAATAGATGCAAGAAAGTGGATATAACCGCTTGACAATGGAGGCAGTAGAATTGCAGAAGAAAAGAAGGAAGGAAGAACTGCAAATGTGAAAAACCATAGCATTTGCCATAGCAAATCCAAAGTGGTGCTGCCATTTCACAGTGGGCAGGAAAAAAAAGTTGAAGTACAGGGTCAAGGAGGGAAAGTGATCCAGTTGAGCCAGCCTGGAAGTGGGCATGGGGGTTGCACTTTGGAATATGGAAATGATCTGACCACGTGAAGTTGTGAGTCATCAGCTGGGAATGGGCATTGAAGCTATGTGCTTCAGTGAGAGGAAGTGATTGGAATATGCTGGAGTGTTGATGTTACTCAGAAGTAGAAGGAAATGAGGAAGAGCTGGTGGGTGGATATAACCCACAAGGGAGAAGCAGGGAGTGGTAGGTAGATCTCCCACCAGAATAACAGAACAGAAGCAGGGGAGTTAACCACAGTCCCAGGGTAAACCTAGGGCAAAAACATTGGAAAATCCAATACTGTAGCTGGGGGTGATTTGTTTCTTGTTGTCTTAATTGCTATAGAGGAAAATACAACGGGCCAGTAAATTGATGTAGATTCCTACCTGGGAAACCCTCCTTATAAGTTGGATTGCTGGCAGCCACAGCTTCAGGCTGTTGCTGGCTAAAGGAAAGCTTATATAAACAAGAAAGCCTGTAGTAAAAACAAATAAATACGAACACCAGGATAATATCAAACTAGGATTTGTTTAGTAAAAATGCTGAGCTTTCATTGGCCAGCACTGCCAACATCATCAGAGCATAGAAACAATGTGAGTTTCTATGCTCTGATGATGTCGGCAGTGCTGGCCGATGAAAGCTCAGCATTTTTATTAAACAAATCCTAGTTTGATATTATCCTGGTGTTCGTATTTATTTGTTTTTTCTACATGGCATCACCCAGGATTCGAATTTTTAACGTAATTAGAGACACAAGAAACCCTCTATACATGACACAAAGGCAGTGAGACATCAGGGCTGAGAAGATATGAACAGTTGTGCCATTGCTATGGAGTCTATGGATATGGATATGCTGTGGACATAGAGTCCAGTGTGGTCTAGATTTTAGGGCCTCCCTGGCTGTCCCAGGTTATTTCAACCCCACTCGTGCTGACACTTAGCACTTCTTTAAGGCAAATGGTATATGGTTTTAAACGGGAGAACATTATTATGAATCCTTTGCTTGGTCAGATCACTTCCCGGTCAGTAGGTATTCATCCTGCAATCACTCTTGTGTCCTTCCTACCAACCACACAGGAAATACACTTGGACTAGTTCAGATAAATCTAGCATTTTACTTTTTACTTCCTGATGTAACAATTTTTTAAAAAGTTCTCTTTGTATCCAATCTGCACAGAACATTAAGATGAAACTGGGACTGAGGTAAACTTTCCATTGATGAGTTAGATTCTGAAATTGCTCCCTACGTTGAACGTTTAAGATCTGAAGTAAAGCATACGTTATGTATGATCTTTTTAGCTCTCTGATCAGTGGTATCCATAGACTTTGTTTTCAGTAGTCTGAATAAAGCAGTATTGTGACGGCATGTTGCAAACTTTGCCTGTTCAACAAACTGTGTGTGATGTCAAAACACATGTTGAAAAGGAACAGGGCCTGTAAATTCATTGCCAAGTAATTACTTTTATCAGTCTTGCCTTCTCCCTTCCTATGGGGTACTGCTTCTGACTTAATCATTTCCTAAATTTCAGTCTGCTATCTGCATGGACATCTAAACAGGCAACCATCTTCACTTTTGCAAATCCTCTCATGCAAATTGAAAAACAAATGGAAAGCTGCATAATTGGCTATGACTACTGACCTTAAACATAATTTTGTAAAAATGTAAGTATGCGTACTTACCAATATAAGTTGTTTGAAGAGAACGTTTATATATTTTCCAGCTTAAGAATGCAATAAAAATTATAATTATGAAAACAGCAACAGGAATGCTGAAGGCTGCAGCTCTTTCATGATGTTCGTTATACATTATAGGGCTGTTTGTTGAATTCTTTAAATCAACTGAATAAGAACAATAATAAGGAAGATAGGAAGAAAAAAAATCTTTGAATATTATTGGTTTACACTAGACAACTTTTAAAAGTAGCAACATTAAATTAAGAATCATTCAAGCATTTTCTATCCATATCTAAACTAGTAAATCATATACCCCAGCAGAATTCTTGCTTCCCCAACATGGGATCAGATCAGAAACTGTTTTGGAAAATTCCAAATAGCAAATTTTAAAATAATTCACCAAATAACAGGCTAATAAATCCCGAGTATCCAACATTGCTAACAGTATTTCCTTTGATGCCTGCTGAGCATATCATTATGAAATAATAAACTTTATTATTACCCCATTGCAAAGGAAAGCACCAGTCCTCTAAGTCTCACATAATGTCAGGGATATTTTTAACATAAAAGTGATGGTAGCTACAGCCTTGTGTGTCCATCTGCTTATCATCTTTAGCATTCAGAGGGAAAGGCAAGGAGTAACTTCACTAATTTACCTTCTAGTACCTTTTTTTTGTGTGTGTGACTGGCCATGCAGTTCATGGCAGTTATTTTCTGAAAGTACTCATGACAGGTTCTTAAATCCCAAATTTTTTCTTAGCCCTGTAAATTTGGGACTCCCACCCTACATCTTGTAAAGCACCTCTTCAAAGCCAGTATATAAATATCTGAATCATATGATGCAAGTACACTGTTATTAGGAAGATAGCAATTATTAAGAACCTCACCTGCCTACTTATTCTATTTTGCTTAAAGCTGATGATGGCACTTAATAACTGATTGTTCCTTTCCCACATCAGCTGTTATCTCTCCAATCCTAACCTTTCACTGAAATTTCTATGTCAGAGCATTGGAAAATAGATGGGGGGGTGTTACTGCTGCTGCTGCTGGTTGGGCAGAATATATCCAGAAACCAACTTTCCCCAAGTAAAAGAGAAAAGAGAAACTGAAATGCTTGAAATACTGAAAAATCAGATGGCAGTAGAAAAAGTGATAAAGATATGATGGGAAAAGGAGGGATAAAAGAATCCGGATGCTTCCAGATGGAGAAGTCCTGGTTCTACCATTTGAAAGAATCAAGTCTTGTTGAGAAAACATAATAGTTAGAGATAGAGGACAGTATCCTTGGGATGCTTCATGCAATTCCATGTATCAGGTGAGGTACATGGATTATTTGAAAAAAATCTCAACCTGGAAATCCCCTATATTGCAAGAGGATCACAAGGACAAGACAGGCAGTGTCCTATCTTTAGGAAGGAAACAAGCAAGGAAGCTTTGGAGACTTGTGTTGGGGAGAGAAATGGAAGTATAGAATTGACTGTCATAGCCACGAGGGCAGCTCCTATAACTCAGATAATGCAAGGAGGAGGAGGAGAATTGTTATTCATCCCAGCACAGCTGCCAAAGTATTCTGGCGAGTTTCATCCTCTAAATTAACTAAACCACCCAATTATGGAATATTAATTGAATTTGTATTCAATTTTTACTCTTTCCAACCCAACCAAATATTGAGAAGAATTTATGTCAGAGGGCTTGGGATTCTTGTCTTTCAGCAGGATAACTTTCCACAAGCTGAACAGAATAGAATAAAATTTGGTATCAGGAGGAAAAGCTGGTAAAAGGAACAATTATGTTAAAAATAGGCTGGATCAGGCCAGATTATGGAGAATGTTCCAGAAAAATGCATCCCTAAGAGACAACTGGACAGCAATTTGGAATGTAGCCTTTCCCCTACTCTGAGCTCTCTTCCATCTTCCAAGTCTCATAGCCTGGATCAGAGCCTTTATTAAGTGGCTGGAAAGAGTTTCAGAAGCCAGATTTGGCATGTTTTCCTGTTTTGCTTAATAAACACAGAAGTATATTGACACATCAATTCTTCCTTACAAATACCAATGGATAATAAATAAGACATAAACTGTGAGGAACAACTTACTTGTAGTAGTAATATTTTGATGCAGTTGCTTATGCTCAATTATACATCCTAACTTTATATCAGAAGCCATTTTCATCTTCAATGTACTGAATACACTGAAAGACCCATCAAGCTCTTTGGTGAATTGCACCGTTACGTTCATGGTGCTGTTGTCCATTTCATTTACCCAATAAAGCCTTTGTTCAGGATAGCCATGGCTTGAATTGCACATAAACATCATTTCTTCTCCGAGCTGCACAGGGCCTGTTATTACTGGTTTGCTGTAACCGGCTGGAAAAAAGAGAATTTTAATTTTAATTTTATAGCCATGCTTCCCCACAACTTCATCTGCCACTTTTGAAAAAGGTATAACACTGGAGAGAAATTGTTTTAGAATTGGATGATATAACAATTTATATCCTCCTTCATCAGATTATACTACCAAACTTTTGGTGGGAATGAGGTGTTCTCTGGAACCTTACAGGAAAGTCTTCCAGATTAACCCCTTTAATTCTCTGTGGTCAAATGTACCAAACAGCACACAAATTGGGTTTGACATCTCACATCCATTTCCAAGGCATAATCCATAATGGCACATCTAGCATAAATATACAGTATAAAAAGACTTTCAGTGCCTACTCTGTCCTTTTTTCCCCTCGGTGAGTTTGGAGGAAAAAGAATTAAGTATGTGAGGCCCAAGAATTTTGTATAAATTGTAGTAAAAGGCAGTAGGCAGTATATAATTTATAAAATGGATATTTGAGATTGCCTTCCCAGCATCATTGTTGTTCATGTTATCCTCAAACCATCCAATTGCAGACAACTTTAAATCATTCAGCAAGGGATATACTCATGAAAAAAACATTTGCTAAGACTGAATAATCTGCTATACATATTCATAGCTGCAGGATACCTTCTATAAGCACATGCATAAGGACAAGTGTTTGCAATCTATGCAGTCACCAAGAGGGAGAGGAAGTGAATTGTCTTCATGTCTACCGAGCATTCCATCCAGTCTCAATTAGCATTTAAGACTTTTGAACATTTTTCCTTCACATTACTGACAAATACGCAAGTTTTGCAAAACAGCTGTAGAAGTTGAAAAGGAGACAGGCATTTCCCCTGCACTCAGTGGTGCTCTTTTTCATACTAAAGCACTGTTTAGTGTTATAGTACTATTAAAATAAATAATTTATGCTTATACAGTGGCCTTTGCTTAATAAACTATTATATATTTACATGTTCATCAGTTGTTTCAGTACACACTTTATCTCCATTCTTTAGTCATACAGGAATTAACTTAATTATCTTTATTTTATTAATGTATTAATACATTTATTAATCAATTGAAATTTAATTAATGTATTAATTTATTTAGGCAGTTTTGTACTTTCATTTTCTGCTTGCTCATAGTCTTTTCAACACCAGAGTTGATGAAGGAAAAACAGAAAAATAACTCTTCAATGCGCTTATAGAAAAACCAGCATCTTATTCACTCTTTTTCAACTCTAAACAAGAACTCTGTTCATTAGTAAGATCATCTCTTCCTCCTTCAGTAATGCTCCCTATATACGAGGGCAATTCGGAAATAAACTTCCGTTTGATTACCAATGACAGATACTCGCAGATGCAGAACTTTTATTATACACATTAGAAAACTACAACATTACATTACTTTTTGACATAATCACCATTCAAATTGAGTCACTTGTCATAACGTTTTACAAGGTTTGAAATTCCTTAGTAGTAGACACTCGGTGCTAAATCTGGGCTATGGGGGTTGTGTGTGATCAAAAACATCCCAACAGAACTGCTTCAAAAGTTCTTGGGTGTATCTAGCAGTTTGCGGGCAAGCATTATTGTGAACCAACACCACACTGGAAGTGGTGGCATCCATAACAAGTGTCGAGGCATGCTGACTTCCAGTGTGGTGTTGGTTCATAATGCTCACACACACACTGCTAGACACATGAGAAATTTCCCACTGTTTACCCTATTCTTTTTATGGACTGGCAAGCTGAGAAAAAGTTATCTTTGAGGACAAATTTCAACCCAATCTTTATCATAATAACTTATCTGGCCATCAAACAACAATTCATAAGTATTTGCTCAGAAGAAAAAGCCCTTACCTGCCACTTTGAGCGATATGGATTCATTATGAATGAGTTTAAACTGTCCATTTATATTTTTCTGTATTATGCAATGATAGATAAATTCATCTGCTATCCTGATGTTTGACAGCTGCAAAGAAGCACTGCCTTGTTTGGGCTCATTTAACAGAGTCCGTCGTTTGAATTCTTCACACTGGTACTTTTCCATATTTTCATTAGGAAAATAGCCAGCTACAAAGCATGAAAACCTGTCTTTTATTTGCCATGATATTCGATTCCTATTGTAGTTTAATGATTCTTCTTCTGGATAACAGCATTGCAATTCAACACTGCTTCCTATTATGCCAATCACTTCTGTTTCAGCTATAAAGAGAAAGAAGATTCAAAAAATGCATTGCATCATATAATCTACTTTCCATTTTCCCAAAATTAAAATTGAAATCACTATTCCAGAGTCAGCTTTATGATTGATTCTCTTCACTCCTGAAATTTCTATTTATTCTTCAGAAGTACACAGGCCTGCCCTTGAAGAACATTTAGAAGCACACATGCAGCTCAACTTGTGCAAGCGGTAGGGCGGAGCACGGGCACATGCGTGTGCAGCTGAACTTGCAGTTGATCTGTGTGTGCATGCGTGTGCATGCTAGCCCGCCACTCATGTGAGTTGAGCTACATGTGCATGTGCACCAGCCTGCTGCATGTGCAGCCTAGTTCCCTCTCCCCCGCCCCAGCTGGGCTGCCAAGCCGCAAAGATTGGGGACCGCTGACCTAGGGGACCTTCTCTCAGTTGTTTCTACTCATAAAATTTGGTTTGGCAGGTTGGGCATGTTAAGGATCCAGTGAGCCAAGCAATATTGGCTGGTGGGGATAAAAGAAGTGCCTTCTCCTGCCCTTTTCTCCTGCTCCTGCCCTTCAGAGATTGGAATGTCTACCCTATTGGCCTTTCATAAGCCATCATGATCCAGGTGCATGCCCAGGGTCCTGAGTATGAGGCCCCAAGTGTGTTAAGGGCCCCATTACTTGGCTATATTAACAACTGTGGCAACAGTTTTACTTGATGACCATATATATTTATTTTGTATTGTTTTCATTTTTTTAGGTTTTTATGATGTCCATCACCTAGGGTCATTTGTTGAGATGGGCGGCTATAGAAATAAAGGTCACTGGGCTCCTGTATTTAAATTTGTGCTGAAACTTTATTTGTTCTGCATATTTATACAGAGAGCTGTTATGCAGCTGATTATAAGGAATGGATGTGACAATGCATTTGTGTGCATTCTGTTCAGTGGTTACAGTTCATGCTGAAAAACCTATTATTTAATTGATTTGCTTACATGGCCATCTGTCGTGCAGTAGTGAATTTGGGCAGTTAATAGTTTAAAATATCAGCACAAAACATACACATAATGAAAACAATACAAGCACATTTGGGCAAATGAGGAAAACATAATGGCAAATTTAAAGGAAGAGTGGACTTGATTGAATTCTTAACAAGAAACCTCCCTGATGGCCTCTGGCCTCTTTATTATAACTGTTCTATCAACACTCTTTCAACTGATGTCATTTCAGTTGAATCTAATGGAAATACAATTCCATCCAATATCTGGTCAGTCCTTGGCTTAGTTCTATCATTACCACAGCAATTAAGCTGAGCAGGTATCCTTTTTTTTCAGTAGGGATTTCAGTCTGTTGATTATCTGCTTAATATGTGTATTGGGGTTCAGATTATTTAAATAAAAAAACCTGAGAATATCAGTATTTTATTGAAAAATATTTAACAGTAAGGGAAAGTTAATTTAATAGTTCAACTGCATTTAGAATAATGCAGGCAACCAGATTAAAAACTCCTTGCCTTTGTATAATATGCTCTGAAGTCAAAATAGCTGTATCATTTCCTTTAACACAGTGTTTAAAAACTTGCTTTACAGTTGAATAAACCCAACATTATAATAACTTACCAGATCTCCAAACCCAAAGAAACAAGACCAAGAGTCCAAAGCTAAAATAAAAAACCATAAATTTCAAATTAAAAATTAGAATGTGTAATTTTAAAAATTACACAATGTATTGAGGAAAATGTATGATAAGATTTAGCATAAGCCATATAATAAATAGTAGGACTAAGATGTGAACCAATTGAGTTCATTATTTTCACTATTTTATCTTTTCTCTGTTTATTAATCATAAATGTATGCTGCCATAATACAACATGATCTTGGCAGCTTCTATTGCTATATACATACATATCTAAACAGCCCATTCAAAAATAAACACAACGCAATAAGAAGAAAAACTGTACTATCAAACCAGAAAAAGGCTGATACAGCATTTGTGCTTCATACATTATCACAAACTGCCTTTGTGTGAGAAAAGAAAAACATAAGTTAATATACACAGTATTGTGTATGACATTCTTCTGAGACCACTTTCCTATTTTTATTTTAATATTTTGCCATTTCCCTGTAGAAGTATACTTGGAGAATCACTTTTATCAAATTTTAATTCAAATCCCAGGATTAAACATTGCTTGGACTCAGTGGATTAAATGAATGTAACAGCTACACCATGTGGGCTGTGTGGCTAACCACATGTCATATCAGATCAAAACACCGCACACCAAATCAAAGCACATACATAAACAAAAACGAAACGATTTGGATACATCATCGTTTCATCTCACAAGAAAAAAAAAGACAACATCCTTCAAACTTGAGTATTAAAATACCAACGTTTCAACTTTAGGAATGGCTATTTAGAACACTTTTTCTTCATTATTAGCAATCATTTCTAGTCTGGTCTATCCATATGTTCAGAATTAGGTCCTATAAAGGCTTATTCTGGCAACTAAGAGTAACTAATCCACCGTTCACAATTTGCATACAAATCCTCTTCTTGGAGTTGCCGCTTCACTACTGACCGTTTGTGATGCCTCTGAATTTACTTCGAGTTCTCAGCAGAGATACAACAAATATACAACATGCTATCAGGAGCAGGTAAAAATGCACCTGGATTCCTGCACATTCGGCCGATCGGCAGTTCTTTGGTTTGCTAGCCTTCTAAGCCCAGCACAATACTCTACTTGTTGATTTTACTTAGCACATTTTAAAACCGACTTTGATACTTGACCGCCCCGCCGCTACTGACTGCGTGAGACACACCTTCCTCTACTCACCGCTCGCGGGGGGCCACCATGACCGGGCTGCGTCTGCGAAAGCTGGGCGAAGAGAAGGCGGGGGCTCCTCAGCCACTAGCCAGCGACTCCCAAGCAGCCTCCCCAGCACTGGAGGAGCGCAGACCCCAAACAGCTGCCCGCATTCTCGCCCGTTTCCCTTCAGTCTCGACACCTCTGGAAAAAACCAAACTACCCGGAAGCGGCAGTTTCCTTTTGCCTGTAGCGGGAAGGGGCCTCGAATCAGTTAAAGAAAGACTTCCCAATTCACGGCGAATGACTATATAGTCTTCAGTCGAGTTAGCATTCTCTTCCCTCTTTCCGGTTTCTGATGACTTGGTGCAAACTGAAAACTAAACTAAAACACTTGGTGTTATAAGTTGGAAGTTCTGCGTATAGTGGGGGTGGAATAAACGTTACTGTATTTTATACTGTATACTATATTTTTATCTTTTAACTGGATTAAGTGGAAGTTCTAGGGTTGCCAGGTGTCCACTATTTGAGC